AGGATATTATATGATTAAAGGAGCTCTGGTAGCATAGTGCCTAAGGTATTTGAATGCTAGCTGGAAAGCTTGTGGTTCAAATCCACCAGCCACTCCTAAGAACGAAGATGGGGCAATCTACTTCCATAGTGATACTGCCTCGGAAACCCAAGGAGGGGTCGCTATGAATCAGGTCCAACTCTACGGCACATAACAATAACAACAACAACAATAATGCAAACAGAATAAATTATAAATAAATAAGTGAAAGACAGAAAAATGATACAAGATCCATACCTCACACCATACACAAAAACTAACTCAAGATGCATCAAAGATCTAAATGTAAAACCCAAAACTATAAAGTTCATCAAAGAAAAAAATTGGGGCAAATTTAGGCACCTTAAATCATGGCATGAATACACTATTAAATACAACCAAAAAATACACAAATAGCAGAAGATAAACTAGATCACTGGGACTTTCTAAAAATTAAAATCTTATGCACATCAAAAGGCTTCTCCAAAGACTAAAAAGAGAACTTACAGATTGGGGGAAAAAGGATTTGGCAATGACATGTCTAACAAGGGATTTATCTCTAAAATTTACAGATAGCTTCAACATCTCAACATCAAAAAAACAAACAATCCAATTCAAAAATGAGCAGACAACATGAGCAGACACTATACCAATGAAGATATTCAGTTGGCCAACAAACACAGGAAGAAATGTTGTGATCATTAGCCATTAGAGAGATGCAAATCAAAACAACAATGAGATATCATCTCACCCTAGCAATAATAGCAAAATTCAACAAGACAGAAAACAACAAATGCTGGTGAGTGTGTGGAGAGACTGGAACTCTCATACACTGGTAGTGGGACTATAAAATGGTACAGCCACTGTGGAAAATTCTTAGAAAGTTGGAAATAGAAAAACCGTTTGATCCAGCAATCCCACTACTAGGTATATATACTAAAGAGCTGGGACACAAATAGATATATGTACACCTATGTTCATAGTACACACTGTTCACAATAACAAAGAGATGGAAACAACCTAAGTGCAGATAAGAAACTATGGTACATACACACAATAGAATACTATGCAACATTAAGGAATAATGAACAATCCATGAAATACCTTATAATGTGGATGAACTTGGAGGACATTATGCTGGGTGAAATAAGTCAGTTACAGAAGGGCAAATATTGTGTGGATCCACAATTATAAAAAGTCAAGGATAAGTTTCCACATGAAAGGAAACTTTCTTTGTTGGTTACTGGGAATGGGATGGGAGGGAAGAGGAGGAGAGGGAAAATTGCTAGCTAGGTAAGATAGCCCCACTTCTTTGGGTAAAGGAAAGAGAATATGCTAAAAGCAGGTGACCAGCACAATATCACTAATTAAAAGGAAGATACGGACAGGTGACAAGAGGTACAGACAACAAAGGAAAATACTATTACACGCACAATACTGCATTCTCAGTAGTAACAAACATTAATCTACAGATGGGTACATAGGCAGACAGGCAAGATGACCAGGCATGGGTAAGCAAATGGGAATATACCCATGGCCTTATATAGGTTCGGCGGACGATATTTTCATGCATTTATATGTGTTATAAAAATGTCTCTCTCTCTCTCTCTATATATATATATATATATGCAGTGGAGC